GGGGTCAGGAAACTGAGACGGCCAGAGARCCGGATGCCAGGCCTGACCAGGATGACATCCTAGCCACCTGCCCTTGAGGTGTCAAGCTGGCGCCAACAGACAGTCCCGCCGAGCCTGGTCCTGTGCTGAGTGCTCTCAATACAAAGCCAGGCGGGATGGATGGGAGGTAATTCCCAGGCTCTCGGAGGCAGCACAGATGCTGTACATGGCTCAGTCAGGCTGCTCTCAAATTCTGGCCTTGCCATTTACCAGCTGGGTGACCAAACAAGTCACTTGATTTCTTTGAGCCCCTGTTTCCTTATCTGTAAAAAAGAATAAATAACAACAGAACACACCCAACAGGGGGTTATGAAGATTAAATGAAGTACTGTTAATAGGGTTTTTTTTTTTTTTTAAGCACCAAGTCTTTGGGGATCTCCCTGCCCTACTTTGCTCTGTGGACCAGGTGCTCAGCAGTGGTGGAAAAAGAAAAGGAAAGAAAAACAAAATCCACTAACATACCAACATACACACTCATGTTACGTAAAAGTTCTGCACAACTATACAGTAATTCTAGCCATATTTCCCGCCTTGGTAGAGTTAGCAGACATTTTAACTTTTCAATTATAGTGCTCCAATTCCCACGCATATTTTGTCATCAGAATGAATAAAGATATTTTGAAATTGTGCCTAGTGTGCCAGGCACAGTGTGGGCACAGAGAATCCCTAACATGACATCCTTCCAGGAATGCCATCCTATCCCCATGTTACAGGTGACCCTTGGAGGCTTAGAGAAGCAAAGTGACTTAATTAAGGACATGTAGTATGCCAGGATCTAAGCCCTGGACTCTGGAATATACAGCGATTCTGCCTAGCAGGTCAAGGTGGGAAAAAGCTGCACAGGGCAGGTGATATTTGGGCTGAATCGGGRAGGCTAAGTGGGATGTCTAGGGTTCTCAATCTGGGGTGATTCTGACCCCAGGAGACTCTGGTCAATGTCTGGAAGCATTTTTTTTAATATTTATTTTTTGTAGTTGTACCCAAATAATTTTTATTTATTTTTATGTGGTGCTGAGGATTGAACCCAGGGCCTTGCACATGTGAGGCGAGTGCTCTACCRCTGAGCCATAACCCCAGCCCTGGAAACATTTTTGGTTGTCATAACTTGGAGGGAGAGTGTTGTACTGGTACCTATTGGGTGGACACAAGTAACCCTGCATAACAAAAAGGCTTAGGTACAATGTAATGTACTTATAGCTGTCACTTATTGAGTCTCCCATGTGCCAATTCAGTACTGAATTCTTATAAACATCATCTTATTTAATCTTTTATTTGGTGGGGGGAGTGTACAAGGGATTGAACTCAGGAGCATTTGGCCACTGAGCCATATYCCCAGCCCTATTTTGTATGTTATTTAGAGACAGGGTCTCACTGAGTTGCTGAGGATGACTTTGAACTTTCAGTTCTCCTATCTCAGCCCCAGGATTACAGGTGTGCCCCACTGTGCCCAACTAATTTAATCTTATTCTGTTTTTAATATTATTTTTCAATTGTAGTTGGACACAAAACCTTTTATTTATTTATTTTTATGTGGTGCTGAGGATGGAACCCAAAGCCTCACATGTGCTAGGCACTCTATTGCTGAGCCACAACCCCAGCATCCCCCCTAGTTTAATCTTAACCCTATCACTTCAAGTTGTCAATGCAGAACCTGAGACTCAGAGAAGGCAAATAACTTTCCTAAGATCACACAGCCAGTAAATAGTAAAACCAGGATGGAGCTGCCTGAGTCCAGAGCCAGAACTCTTCATCTTTCCACTCTGCTGTCTCTAGGACTTAGTATAAATGTAAAAGTTCCAGGACAACTGCTAGGGAGGGTATCCAGAGACCAGCTAAGTGCAAGCCCAGACTCCTGTGGCTTCAAGGCCTTGGGCATGTCCCCACCCTCCCCCTCTACCAGTTCCCCATCTGTCAAGTGAATATTGCACCAGACGGATTTCCAAGGCCCTGCCAGCTCTGAGTCTGTCATTCTCCAGGAGAGGGGCTCCAGCTCAGGCTCTAGCAGCCACTAGCTGCTGGGGGAGGTGTGTGTGTGTGTGTGTGTGTGTATGGGGGGGGCGGGGGGGTGGGGTGGACTGATCTCCTTCCCAGCTAATAAGCCTGCTTTCTCATGAGAAGGGAGAGCCTGGTGTGGGTGGAGAATCAGCTTGAGCCCCCGCCTTGAGCATATCCCAAGGTGGGGACCTCTGCTGACACCTGGCTAGGCCCAAAGGGGACACCAAAGTAGGCTTCCTCCTCAGCAGGAGAGGTGGGGCTGGGCATCCTCATGAGCTCTCAGGACTCCAAGGAGAAAGGATGGGAATGTGTGCTGTCCCAGACCCTGACATGTGCTAGGCGCCTCAAATAGTAGGTTTGTCCTAGGTCAGCTTCTTGGAAGTCCAGGTAGGAGGGCATCATCCTGACCCCATGTCACAGACAGGGCATCTGGGTTCACATGACCTGACTCCCCAAGCCACACAGACAGTGCCTAAGGCAGGTCCAGGACTCCAGTGTGTCTGACCCCAGGGCAGGGCCCTGGAGAGTGAGTGGCAGTCTTGTATTCTTTCTATCCACGAATGAGTTTCATTAGTATGTGGAGGAAATATATATTGAATTTCACCTGCAATCCCCAGGTCACAGTACAGACTGCAAAAGTCCTAAACACAGTAATCTGCATTTCCTGTTCTGCAAACAGGAGAACCCAGGCCCTGAAGCAGAGACTGGGAGTCAGATAGAGAGGGGAGGGCTGTGCAGCAGAGGAAGCATCTGGCTCGGGCAGGCTTGCTCTCTAGCCTTGCTCTCTCCCTATCTGGCAGTATGGCCTTGGATAAGTCACAGCACCTCCCCAGATCTGTGTTCACATCTGTCAAATGAAGAGGTTGAACAGATGGTTTCAGATGGTGTCCCTTCAAGCTCATACTCATTCTCATTCCTGTAGAGGTTTTCCCTCCTCCTGGTTTATGTGACTTCACAGATGGAGAGATGGGGACACCAACACCTAGCACAGGGTCTTTAGGGGTAGAGGGACAAAACTGGCCTTGTGCAAGTTCCCAGAGCCCATGTTCTTTGCTCACCCTCTGATGGGGCCTTCATCCTCAGGCAGCCAGACAGGGAGGGGTATGAAAGGTGGCGATGGGGAWCAGGGGCCATTTCTCCTGGGCCAACCCTCATCCCTTGGTATCTGCTAGGTGTCAGCTAATTTGCAGATTCACATATGGGTGGGGGAATGAGATGGAGTTGGGTGGGGAGTGGAGGTCCCTTATGATACAGGGAAAAGTAGTTATTTAGCTCTTGATTAAGTAGTGAAGGCCATGGAGCTCAGTACCTCCCAATTCTACTTTCTGCCCACTCCATTTCCAGAAATTGTTTGAACCCCAATCTTCCACTTCTGAATGTTCTACTGTCTGGTGGGCTTAGGACAGGACTGGTCACTCATTCATTCATTCAACACTTACTGGAATGTACTGCAGGCTAAGCCTATACCATCGATATGAGGAATTAAAGACAGTTTCTGTCCTTGGGAAACTGTGTGCTAGACTGGTATCCCAAGGCCAGGGACATGGGACTGCTGGATTAAAAAAGGTTTAGCTTGAGAAAGGATTCCAGGTTTAAATAAGTATGGGGATTATTATTTTTTTTTTCTAAAGAGAGAGTGAGAGAAGAGAGGGAGAAAGAGAGAGAATTTTAATATTTATTTTTTAGTTTTCAGCGGACACAACATCTTTGTTTGTATGTGGTGCTGAGGATCGAACCCGGGCCGCACACATGCCAGGCGAGTGCGCTACGGCTTGAGCCACATCCCCAGCCCTGGGGATTATTTTATTAAACATAGTAAAATGGATTTCTTTGCTACAAGATTTAAGGCTTTTTCCAAGCCTTTAGTATGCAAATTCATACTGGGAATCATCCAACAGAAGTTGGGAGAAGGCGGGTATTGAAATATACATTATTTTCCAAATAGAGCTGATTTTGGAATACTTTTTTCAAAAAGTCATATTATTAACAGAGGGTATTTGGGAAAATATGTTTCTCATGCAAATTTCCTGGTCAGTGAAACTTAGAGAAGGCTTTGCAGGGAGGACATGTGAGCAGGGCCATGAGTGTTGAGTAGGAGTTCATCATAAAAATGGAAAGGCTTAAGGTAGATCAATTATTGTCCTAGACTGACTGCTCTTGTTTCAATGAGTCCTCAAAGATCCTGATGTGGGTGACAGAGCCATGGAGGTCATCAAAAGTCCTTGAAGACTACTAGAGGTCCATCCACTTYTCTCCCCAACCTTCTCAAATCACCTCTGGGACTTATTTTCTTCTTAAATCTTCAATTCCTGGCCCCATTCTCAGTCAGCCCCCATTCAAATCCAAACGTGTTCTCACAATATCTGTACTTGACCCCCTCATACACCTCAGCCCAATCAGTGGAGCATTATCCAGATCTTTCAGCTGTTTGCTGACCCTAACTTCCATCCCTCTCTTAGACTTAACCTTCGTCTGTGCAACAAGGTCTAGCACCTTACGCCCCTCAGCCCCGATGTACAACAGATCAAGGCCCCGCCTCACCGTACCCCAGCCTGCCAGAGCTCAGCTGCTAAGTGGTGCAGAACCCTTCCTTGTAGCCCTGCCCACGGTCTAGCTTTAATGGAGGGCTGCCCTTGCCCAACTCTGATTTGCCTGCGTCCCCAACAAGCCCAGTACCTGGTCCAGCTCTTACCTCATCCATCCCACTGTCCCACTCCACCCTCGACCTTTCCCCAACCAGTGTCAGGCTTCCACTCCAAGAAATGTTTCAGATGTCACAGGGTAAAGGCAACCCAAGGCCCCGCCCCTCTCCACGGCCCCGCCCCTCTCGATATTAAGTCTGATAGGGCCCGAACCTACCTGAGGCCCGCCCCTTGACCACCCTGACTGGGCCCTGCCGGCAGTCCAGCCCCGACCCCACCCCCCGGCTCGGGCCCGCCCCCGCCGCCGGCCGGCTGGTCGCTCACCTGCAACTCCTCGAAGGCATCGTCGATGCCGGTGACTTGGTGCTGCTCGTGGAGCGCGGGCTCATCGCAGAAGAAGCAGAGCAGCGCGCGGTCCGTGAGGCAGAAGAGCTTGACCTTGTCGTGCGCCTGACAGGGTCGCGCGGCGCGGCGCGCGTTGAGGATGGCGTCCAGCGGGAAGGCGCTRTAGCGCTCCACGATGTTGGCCAGCTTGAGGCTGGGCGCGAGCGCGGGCTCGGCGAACGTGCGCCGGCACTCTGGGCAGTCGCGGGCGCCCTGCGCCTCCTGCCGCACCCAGTGCTCGGTGATGCAGCGGCGGCAGAAGTAGTGCTCACAGCCCAGGCTCACCGGGTCCTGGTAGATGCTCAGACAGATGGAGCAGAGCAGCTCGTCCTTGAGGCTGCAAGCCATGGCGCCAGGGGCGGGGAGGGGGCTCAGAGGCAGGGGCAGCGGAGAGCGTGACGCTGTTGGGGCAGCACCCAAGGGGGCGACGCGGGCTCGAGGCCCGCGGAGACAGGGGAGCAGACACCGGAGAAGGAAGGGGTGCTGTCCGGGTGGATTCCACGAGGAAGGGATTCGAGGCTGCCCGGGATGAGCGTCTGGCAGGGCGATTTCGAGGTAGTGGGTAGCTCAGAGCGATGGGTGCTGAAGGGAAGAGGCCGAGGATGTCTAAGGGAAGGGGCTCCTGGCGAGGAGGTTCTTGAGGGACCGGACAGTCCAAAGAATGGGTGCTGGGAAAAGGAGATCCAGGAAGGGGGCGGAGGCCTAGGGGGGGTGGGGGCTGAAATCCCGGGACTGGGGCAACTGGGGGAGGGGGAGAAGCTGGGGATGGGAAATTCTGGAGTAGGGAGAAGCCAGGCCGAGTCGCACCACAGCTGTGAGCTGCAGAGGAGAGGAGGGGTGCGGGTTCGCACAGCTGCCGGATCCCTGCACAAGCCCCAGCCAGGCGCAGCCCCTTACCCCCGCCAGCCAGCTCAGCGGCCACCTCTTCGGTCCAGCGCAGCCTCTCAACCCGGAACCAGCAGAGCCGAGCTGCCGGCGGCCGCGGCTCCCTCCCCGCCCCCGCGGGCGGGACCCAGGCGACTCCGCCTCCGCAGCGGGCGGGGGAGGGGCAGGAACTCCAGACTCCCGACCCCCGCCCCGCCCCCACCATCCTATTGCTCAGGGGAAGCAAAACCCAGCTGTTCTTTTAAGATTGGCAAAGCAATCAGGTCTTGCTCAGAGTCCCAGCGGCTGGGGAAGAAGAGGACAGCTGGTTTGAGAGGACGACGAATAAACAACGAGCATCTCTCTGGATCATCAATTTGAAGTTTGGTAAAAATAATATTTGTATTAAAACAAACATGAATATGTTGTGTATTCTGCATAGAATACAGCTTTTACACAGTCTATAACGACGAAACTGGAGAAATGCCATTTGCTTAGAGCAAGTGCAAGGTCCTCATGATCCCAATTTCTCTTCACTGTCCCCTACCCACTACCCGGGGACATTGTACCACTGAGATACATCCTCAGCCCTTTTTATTTTATTTTGAGTCAGGGTCTCCCTAAATTGTTCAGACTGGCCTCAACTTGCCATCCTCCTGCCTCAGTCTTCTGAGTTGCTGGGAAGGCATGCACACTGTGCCGGGTTCCTTTCATTTGGGGGAGAGGTTTGGAGAAATCTGGCTAACTTCTGACACAAGGAGTTTCCTCCACTCAGCTAATGTATCTGCAGTGCTGCATTTGTGTGTGTGTGTGTGTGTGTGTGTGTGTGTGTACACAATGTACACACATTATGGGTGCACATGTGTAAGGGGGTGGTGTGGAGAATGAGAGGGAGAAATTGTAATGGAGACCCTATCTTCTGTGCCAGATGGAGAGGAGATGAGGAATTTCTAGGCAGAGGGAGGTGTGTGCAAAAGTCTCAAGGTGTGAAAGGGGAGGGCACTTGGAGGAAGTGCCAGTGTTCTTTTACTGTTGGGAGTTGGGTGAGGAAGGGGCTAGGGAAGTGGAACGCATAGAAGGTCATCATAAAGAATTGCTTGCAGGCACGGGGGCTTTCTAGCAGGGGAATGACCTTGCTCAATTTGGGTTTCATGAAGTGTTAGAGATGCTCATTCTGCCTGCAGCAAAGCGAAGGCAGGCAGGTACCCTTTCTGCTCTGYCTGCCTATGTGGCACCTAGGCACACAATACAGATGGGCAGCTGAGTAATAGCAGCAAAGCTGTGAACTGCAGGAGGAAGGAAAGACTGGGCCTGATCTTTTGTCACAGTGCCTGCAGGAGATGAGACCTGAGTGGGRGCCTGATAGTGGGTCAGGAGAGAAGGTCAGAGGATTAAGTTTGGACCCTAGGAAACTTAGTGATGATTGCATATGGGAATGAGACAAAGGAGGCATTGAGAGTGGCTCCTCCTCTTGTGCCGCTTCCAAAAATGTCTTCACTGAAATTAAACTTTATTGAGGTACAATTTAACAAAAAGGTTCAATTCCCTGCTGTTTGCATGCCCTCCACCACACCCTCATCTGGTGCTGTGCCTCCATCATCGCTAGAAACAGTTTGGTGGCTCATATACCAGCCATTCCTCAGAGCACTCAGAGCGCTGATTTTATTCAGGTATCTTCAATTCCCATATGTCCAAGGGAAGGCTGGCCCCCACCCAGCTCCAGGAGTGATTTCTGTTTGGTCCAAGTTCATCCTGGTGGTTGCATCTCTCTTGCCAGTGATGGTTCAGCTAGGTCTGGCCTGAAACCCAAGGTGAAGACTATGGCAGAGAGGAGACTTCTGGAAACAGTCTCTTCATGTGTGAAGTCCCACCAGCCATGTTGTTCCCTGTATGAGAATGTGACCAATACATGAGCGAACCAAAGGGATCTTAGGGAAGAGATGTTGCATTGACTCGAAGCTTGGACTTCTAGATATGTGAGGGAGTCCATTTTCCTCAAGTCCAACTTGCTCAAGCAAGTTTAATAGTGATGGACTGTCACTTGGGCTATCCAAAGAATCCCAGTTGGTACACTGCCAGGCATCTCCATTTTTTTTTTCTACAAGCAGAAAACTATTGAAGTTTTCAAAGAGAAATGAAAAGGGGTTTGATGGTGGATAAACAGTGGCTTTATTATTCAATATGTGTTACCAGGGTTGACTCTGAGCAGGCCTTGTGCAAGGAGATGGAATAAACTATGCTTCTTACTCCAAGGAGCTTGCAGCTTAGAAGAAAAAACAATGAGAAAATTTTATCAGGCACAGTAGGGCACTGAGTGTTCCCACATATATTGTTGCATCTGAGTCTCAAAGAAATCTTAATTAGTATATGACATGATCCCCATCTTATAAGGGAAGCTATTGAGGGTCAGAAAATGGAAATGTGGTGGAGATTGCTAGTTATGTACCAAAAGTCCTCCTCCTGCTATTCTATAGCAATAGAGTAGCAGTCCGAGGAATGACTTGTCCCCTGGAGACCATACTTCCTGCTCCCCTAGMGACCACACTTCTTGGCTTCTCTTACAATTGAGTATGGCTTTGTGACTAAGCTCTTTCCAATAGATTCTAAATAGAAATAGGCTTGGTGGGTACAGTGGCACACACCTGTAATCCCTACTTGGGAGACTGAAGCAGGAGATTGCAAATTCAAGGTCAGCCTCAGTAACTTAGCGAGACYCTGTCTCAAAATAAAAAATGAAAAGGGCTGGGGATGTGGCTCAGAGGTTAAGCATCCTGGTTTCAATACCTAGTACTGGAAAAAAAAAGCCTTAAGGCAGGGGGCTTTTGCTCTTCATGCTTCATTTCTTCTTCCCTTGAGTTGGAACACAGATGTGTCAGGGACCCAGCTTCAATAATACTTGTAAGGGGCTGACAGAGCAAAGGTAAGGGAGGAACCTGGGTTCCTAAATGACTGCATGGAATACACTCATGCACATGGTCAGAAAGTGAGAAATAAACTTGTATTTGCTATAAGCCATTGTATTTTGGGTGGCTTGGTAGCAGGAGCTTGGCCTTTTCCATGCTATTTGATTTTTTTTCAAAGAGGCTCTGGTCTATGTTATGCTATTGTTTTAATTTTTCCATCAATAAATTTCTCTTAACATCTAGTCCAAATTTCTCCAAAGAGTACAGGACATAGTTTTCTCTCGCTAAAAGTCAGCCTCTCTTATCTTTCAAAATACTTTAGAGTTTTTAGTCCTTTTGCCTTTTGAAATGTTCTTCTCCTAATCTCATCCCATCTCAGTCAAAGATGAAGAGCACTAATAAATTTAGTGCATCATGTTTAAGTTTGGTAAGTCATTGCTCTGCTTCCCCAAACTGATGTGGTTGAAGGATCTGAACTAAGACAGAGATCCTGACTGTAGGGTAGGTCACCTGCTTCTACTCATAGATTGGAATTCTTTTTTTTTCTTTTTCTGGAAAGCTCTTCAAGAGATAACTGTTCAGTGAAATAAAAAAAAAAAAGAAGACCCAAATTCACATTCACAGACACACACAAATTTACACAAGCACATAGGCATTATTTGCATAACAAAACTCACAAAACCCTATAGCAATTCTAATCATGTTCATCTATGGGTTAGATTTTTAAGGGGACTTTATGTAGCTCTGCTTATTATACTAATTTTATAATCAGAAAAAGATTATAAGTTGATTCTCATGATTCGTGGATTTCATATTTGCAAATTCACCGTGACCCTCAAATCAACACTAGAGGCACTTGTGTGGTTGTTTGTGGACGTATGCATGGACAGAGATGTAAAAATTTGGAGTTGCCTATAGGTCCCTTTCCAGGAGACAGAACAAAGAGACATTCTGCTTTCTTGTTTCAGCTCTCAAAGTGTAAACAAGTATCCTTTTTGTGACCTATTTAGTGAGTACCACATTTTTTTTTCTTATTTTTGTGCTTTTTTTTCTTGGTGATTTAGCTATTTAAAATGGCTCCCAGTCTCATGCTAAAACGCTGTCTAGTGTTCCTGAGCATAAGAAGGATGTGATATGCCTTAGGGAGGAAATATGTGTAATTCATAAGCTTTTTTTTCAGACATGCTATAGTACTGTTAGCTGTGGGTTTAATATTAATAAATCAGCAATATACAATCAGCTCTATATCCACAGGTTCTTCWCATATGAATTCAACCAACTTCAGATCAAAATATTTGGAAAAAATTGTCTTCCTACTGAACATAAAACAAACATTTTTCTTGTCATTATTCCCTAAATAATATAGTATAATAACTATGTACATAACATTTACATTGAATTAGATATTATAAGTAACCTAGAGATGATTTAAAAATCTATGGGAGGATCGTGCAGATTATATGCAAGTACTGTGCCATTTTACGTAAGCAATTTGAGCATATGCGGATTTTGGTATCTCTGAGGATACTGAGAGATGACTGTATTTGTTAAATGAAGCGTCTTTAAACAGGAACACCTTTAAAACAAAGTTATGTATTAATTGGCTGCTGAAAATGTGGCCATAGGCTTGCAGGAACCTGACCCTGTCTTTCCTCTTGGGGCAATGACTCAGTTAGCTGGTTGAGTTTTGCAGTGACTATAGAATGTAACTACCATGAATAATAAGACTCAGCTGTATTTAAAATAGTTGTGTGTAACAATACCCACCAGTACAAGGGACCCACACCCATGTCCCTTCCCTTTCCATCAGATAACACTGCCTGGGGCCGCTGGAMGGGGGAGGTGCAGGAGGGTGAACAGAGTCTTAGCAGCTTTGGTCTCCAGGCCTGTGGTAGGGGCTTCATGTCAGTATTTTATTTAAACCT